GGCGTATTTCACATTGCCTCTTTATATTCAATTTGGCACTTTTGCAGTCACATTCAATGAACCAAATTGTTTTTTGTTTTCTACCGAAGCAACGTAACGATCTTAGGAACGTTCTAATCATTAAAGACACAGAACCAAGACCCTGGGTCCTGTTATCCAATCAAAAAGTAGTTTTCATTAACCAATAGAAATTCACACCGATTGAGCCAATCACAGCCTTCAAAACAAGATTTTTAAAAATGGCCACCAAAATAGTAAACAATAACATAGCAGTAAAATTTTGTACTCACATATATATGCATTGGTTTCTCATTTAATAATCCACTAAACAATATTATAAGAGCATATAATCCAAATAGTAGTTACTATAGTTAATGTGTATACTATTATATTTAATTAATCCGAATAAGAATATTTCATTGTGTAAGTCTAGCTGAACTTATATCCATTCACTGGTAAACATGTCCTTTATATTCAATGCCAGGTGGATTCGGGAACCATTCTCTCACTTGTGTGACAACACATGTGGGCATTATCTCCCTTTTATGGTATATTATACTTCTGTCACTACTTTTGGAAGCTGCCTTTTTGGTTAAATAGTTAGGATGTCTCCATAGTCCTAGATTGTTTATCATTCTCCAAAATTCCTTGTACAGTTTTCTCCTTGTTATAATGTTTGACAATGATGGAGTTGCATTTGTTGTCCTCCAAAATGGCTCATACTTGGCTTCATTGACAACACATGGGTTCCAGAAACAATGCGGACAATCATGTGACTCTTCATTAGAACTAGGGGAATCATTGTTAGGAGGCTGCGGAGGCTCTGTAGATACATGTTGTGGTATCATACCAGTCAAAATGCTGATTGACTGACTTGCTTGATTTTCGTCTTCTGTTGAAGAATCAGTGGCTACTGTTTCTAAAGAACAAATTGCTACTGTTTCTGAAGAGATACTAGCTGATGTTTTCCTCTTTGCTGCTTTTCTTCTATTCACATTTACTGTTTTTTCTGTATTATTCAACCTACTGTTCTTGTAGCTGTCCTCAATGGGGTCAAAGTTCCAGTCATAGTGATCATATAGGGATTCTATCACTAACCTCTGTTCCTCAGTTACATTTATCTTCAAGCTGTAAGTTCTGCTTTCCATTTCACTGCTTGAACTTCAAACATAAAATGACACTGTTTCTTGGATCATAGATTTAGTTTTTAGAATCTGAAAGACCAGTGAAATGCAGCTTGATAAATGTATATTACTATGGGAAAACCAAGGCTTTCTCCAATTCTTGGAGGTTTTAATAATAAATACTCTCTGGTGGATTCATCATCTGGAATCTCAGATATACTCACTCGGGAAGGTACATTAAATGTTGAATGTCACCAGAAATCTAACATATAATCTTCATATGTGAAAGAGTGTAATTTGTTCACCCCTGTGTTCATGATATGGTACATCCACATGAACTCTTGTAAGGTCCAAATCTAGGTTTCTATTGATGTGACCATGATTGATAATTAATAAACATGACTCCCTGACTTTGTCAATGAGGCATGTAGAAAATCTCTTGAATTTCCCAATTTTTCAATTTTATAGCTAAGTGGTGAAAGCAGGCAAATCCTAGACCTCTGAGATTTTTAATTGGGGCTGTACCACTTATGTGCCTCATGGCATAAGTTGCAAACAGTTACCTGGATTTTTTATTTTCTGAACTTTCATCATTAAATTATGGCTAGAATTTGAGTAAGAACAAAAAAGAAATGTGGTTATAATGCAACAATAAAATATGGCTTATCATTTTTGCACTCCCTAGCTTAATAACTAAAATAAATATAATTATGGTTATATATTTCCCACACTGTCACATCCCTAAGGTACACCCTTTGCCTAAATTGCCATGTGTTTTCAACTGTTACATTTGTGCCTTTTCACAAATCTTACTAACAGTTACTAGGCAAGACACACATTGTAGCAATCCTAAACTGTATGATGGCAAGTAAAGCTAAGAAAAAGAAGGAATATAGAGAAAAGCATGGGCGTTCCTCAAGATTCTCAATTGAATGTGCAGGAGGTCAAGAGAAGAAGGAAACTTTGCTTGGAAAAACGAGTAAAATAAAGAAGTTTTTACACCTGAATGGCAATGTAGATGCCATAGAAATAGCATTAGACTATTGGCTAACACACAATATGCCATCTGCAAGTAGCAACACACATACTTCAGCATCATCTGAAGGCAATCTTGAGCCAGAGTCTTGGTACACACCACTAGAGAGACATGAAACTGAGCAACCAATATTTTTTACAACTGAAAAAACTGTCAAAAAACTTGTAAGTTTAGTTGAACATCATAGCAGAATATGTCAAGCGGAACTTCAGTTGCAAGAAGTAGTATTACATGGACATGCAGCAACAATTGCATTTAAATGCCAGGTCAGCGAACATTATGTAAGATGGCCTTCCTCACCCCACTTACCAAATAGCGAGGCTTACGTCAATCTTCGTTTTTTCTTTGGACAGTTGACAAGTGGGCTACTGCCTTCACAATATGAGAATGTTGTTAAAGCAGTCGGTATGGGCCATCTAGGTTGGAGAAAAGAGAAGACTTATACAAATGAATTATCTTCTCATATCAGTGAAGCGATGAAAGAATCTTGCAAAGCTGCCTTAGATGAAGAAAAGGGGACGTATCCTGATGTCGAGGCAAATGGTATCAATATCATGACGGATGCTCGACATGGTGGTAGAAGAAATGCGTTTGATTGTGATGTGATATGTTTGGGCCACAACAAACACAGAGTTATACGTTCTGAACATGTTTCAAAGGAAGATGAAATGTCATCTCAAAAGCATGAGGCATTGGGTACTAAACGGATGTATGAATTTTTTGATGCTGAACAAGTTAAAATAAATATTCATGCCCATGACAACAACGGTACAATCAATAAAATAATCCGTGAGCACAGAGGACCTGGTGGCAAGGAAACTTTAAACCAGAATGACACATGGCATGCGGCAAAGTCATTCAGTCGTGAAATAAACAAAGTTTGTAAGGGGCCCAAATATAAAGATGGCGAGACGTGGCACTCGGAACTCATAGACAAACCCGATGGGGCACGAAAAAGAGCACAGCAAGTTATTCGAAACTGTGATAAGAATCCGAATACAATCAGGATGAAACTAGAGCAAATTCCAAACCATTATAAGGACAACCATTTAAATTGCGATGCCATATCAAGCTGTAAAACAAATATCAACTACAGATTAGAGAAAATTAGAATCACCTCACCCATTGCAGAACAATTATTATTATCATCAATTAAAAAAACAGAAATTTATAGACACGCTGAACATTATACAGAAGCTATGGACACATTTTATGTTGAGAGCTTCAACAATACGTTGAATATTTTCCATGATAAGCGTGTTGTCTTTAAAAAGCAACAATTCGAAATAAGAACTAATCTAGCTGTCGTCCACTGGAATGAAAATGTAGACCGTGATTATTCCAGCATTACTGAAATTGATGATCCACTGAATCCCTTCAAACAAAGAAAAGTTTTGAAGGACTACACAACTAATTACAAAAACAATATTTGGAACAAATGGATGGATTCTATATTTTAATTATACAATATACTTATACTTTACCACATTCCATAGATTATTTACAAGATTAATAACATATAAATACAACATGACTATGTGCATGTAATTGGATTAACTATCACTGTTGGATATATAAAGATCACATCACTTGAAATGCCTCAGCCAGGATCATGGTAAGTTAATATCAATAATACTTCATTTACTGCAGATATTTTAGGCCATGTGCTTTTGTTGACCTCTAAATATGCACGGATCGCCTGTTGTGATTGGCTCATTTCAAAATAGGCTCCTCCTTCTCAGTTGTTCCAATATCAGAAATTAAACAGTAATAATTACAAAAGTAAATAATATCTTGGACTGGATTTAACATGTTTCAATGCCTCCTATATTCATAGATAACTGTGACAATTTATAGAGTGATAGGGTTTCTATAACTAGAGAAAATGAGGAAAATGTCAGTGAGCTCAGATTTTGTCTAAATTTTGAATTCAGCCATGTTTTTTCAACTGATTCAGGCCTTTTATAGCGGGGGTGAGTCTTTAAGGCTACATCACGATTTCATTCATTTCAACTCCATTCATTGTTGCCGCATTCTCAGTTTCTCAACCAGGAAGTTTTATTTATTCTTTATGAAAAACGAACTGAGTCTTTATATGTGTGTGTCTTTGTAAACTCTTTTAACATTGCAATATAAACCGTGTTTACCAAAGTACCTAAGGTATTTTTAAAGTTCCAAATGGTCTATACGCAATGAAAACAAATGCATGCGTATTTTATATGCATTAACAAGATGTTAATAGTGGATTTGTGCTCGTGAAAAACGTCTTCAGTGATTAAAGGATTACGAGCATTAGGATGACGACCGTAAAGCTCATTTGGCTATATCTATGTCTTTCCCTTGTCATTTTAAGTCAACGAGGTAAGACAGTAGGTAATCACATAAAGAAGTAAAAGTTTAGTTCTCATTTTATTTATTTCTAGATGTATAGGTTGGTGGTTGGTATCGTGTTCATTTTCGGTATTGAATCATAGTGATCTACGGATAACGTCGCCCAAAGGCCCACTTAGTAGTAAGGACACTTAATGTAAAGAGTAAAATCAAAACGAAAAGCACAACCCGTTATTTTTTATTTAAAATCTGATGTATATGATAACAATACAAACAGAAACATCGCGGCGAACTATCGAACAGTAATAAATGACTCAAATATACCGATCATCAGAATTAGAACTACAAATAATGCGTAGATTGTTTTCCCATATAGTGAGTAAACTAATAGAAATATACGTTGTTTCTGTTGGTTTCGTTTTTGCCTTATCGTGTAAATATTTGTCATGGATTTGTAGTTTTAAAACATATGCATTTCTCTTATGGACTATTTTTTCTTAACTTCAGGTGAATGTGGCTATGTGAATGTAGCACAGGGCAGATCTCCACAACAATCGTCCAATTACTATCAGTTTGACGCCAGCTACTACAAGATAGAATCTTACTATAATGCCTTCAGGGCAAATGATCTTAACAGTGCAACATGTTCCCAGACCAATGCTGACGATGGACCATACTGGAGAGTTCATTTAGATGGAAGTCAACAGATTAACAATATCGAAATTACTACACAGTCAAAGGGTAAACAACGGCAGAATTAGATGTTTGCATGTGTTACTAGTACTATATCTCAAAAATCACATTCAAACGTCGAACTGCTTCTAGTTTTTTTAAATGTTGCCATAACTGCCTAGGGGTCATGTGCTTAGCCAGCTTTCAGTCAGGGGGATGTGATCGCCAAAAAATTCAGGTTTTCAGTAAGGGGGTGCGATCGTGGCATAAGCGAGCCAAAAAATGTTAACGGTAATTACAATTTTTTGAAAATTACAATTTTTTTTTTTTTTGAGCGAGAAGGTACAAATAAAAAGCATTTTAAGGCTATTTTCTTCCTCTATCTAATGATCCTAATTTCATTGGTTATGTGTGTACGCACCCCCCCCCCCCTTTCCTTCCTTGGCTGCGCCTATGTGGGTGGTGCCCAAGAATCAAATGGCGTTAAGTTGGCGCAATATTATGCTTTAATCATAAACTGACTAGGCTGAAGGGCCTTATCGGGAGCCAATCAGTCCTGTTCTTAGTTTACACTCTTTTGAATATCTATTCAATAAAAAATTTGAATCAACAAATCATTCTGAGACCTGTCTTATTCCTGTCTGTAGCTACCGGTAAAATGCTCGATGTCTACATTTTGATGAGATGACTACAATATGGATGTGTTTTATAGATCCACTATTTGATGTCCAAGAGGGAACATGCTCAGGTACTACAATTTCGGACATCACCTCGTACGGCTTCTTCAACTTCCCAGCATGTTTAGAAGTGTGTCGTGGTAGAATTGACTGCAAAGGTTTTCAGGCCGTAATGGAACCAAGTGGTATAAATGGGTGTTACGCTTTCAGTTCCATGGTATGCGGCACAACTGCTGTACCAGACTCAAGAGGCAACCGATACACATACTTTAAACAAGGTGTTAACATGACACATAGATCTGCGATATAAAAAGATACAATAACACACTTAATAATATTAAACAATTCAATAGATAAGACATAATGCGATAAAACATACGAAAATATGCTCTGAAACATCGCTATAAACATAAGAAACAAAGCTATACATAAGAAACCATTCGTTATATTTGATATTACAAAACACTATGTGATATGATTTTTAAGTTTCATATTCATGTTTAATAATTTAAATAACGGGTAAAATTTATTCTATTCGAAAAATGTCTTCATGATATATAGTTTTTATGTCACCACCAAAAGTGGTGACATATTGTTATGGTCTCCGTTTTTTTGCGACGGCGTCCGGCGGTTGGTGGTTGGTGGTTGGCGTCCGGCGGTTGGCGTCTGTAACAATTTCTTACAACTTCCTATAACTTAACAAATACTGTTTAGACTGACTTCAATTTTTTTCTAAATCATCTACATGTTCTCAGAAGTTCAAATCTGACTTTAGATTTGACATTTGACCTTCAATGACCTTCTCAAGGTCAAAAAGGTCTTTTTTCAACTTGCTTCACATTGACTAAATTTTTTTTCAAAATCATCTACATGTTCTCAGAAATTCAAATCTGACTTTAGATTTGACATTTGACCTTCAAATCTGACTTTAGATTTGACATTTGACCTTCAATGACCTTCTCAAGGTCAAAAAAGGTCAAAAAGGTCTGTTTTCAACTTGCTTCAAATTGACTAAATTTTTTTTTCAAAATCATCTACGTGTTCTCAGAAATTCAAATCTGACTTAAGATTTGGCATTTGACCTTCAATGACCTTCTCAAGGTCAAAAAAGGTCAAAAAGGTCTGTTTTCAACTTGCTTCAAATTGACTAAAAAAAATTTTCAAAATCATCTACGTGTTCTCAGAAATTCAAATCTGACTTTAGATTTGACTTAAGATTTGACATTTGACCTTCAATGACCTTCTCAAAGTCAAAAAAGGTCAAAAAGGTCTTTTTTCAACTTGCTTCAAATTGACTAAATTTTTTTTTCAAAATCATCTACATGTTCTCAGAAATTCAAATCTGACTTTAGATTTGACATTTGACCTTCAATGACCTTCTCAAGGTCAAAAAGGTCTTTTTTCAACTTGCTTCACATTGACTAAAATTTTTTTCAAAATCATCTACATGTTCTCAGAAATTCAAATTTGACTTAAGATTTGACATTTGACCTTCAAATCTGACTTTAGATTTGACATTTGACCTTCAATGACCTTCTCAAGGTCAAAAAAGGTCTGTTTTCAACTTGCTTCAAATTGACTAAATTTTTTTTTCAAAATCATCTAAGTGTTCTCAGAAATTCAAATCTGAGTTAAGATTTGACTTAAGATTTGACATTTGACCTTCAATGACCTTCTCAAGGTCAAAAAAGGTCAAAAATGTCTGTTTTCAACTTGCTTCAAATTGACTAAATTTTTTTTTCAAAATCATCTACGTGTTCTCAGAAATTCAAATCTGACTTAAGATTTGACATTTGACCTTCAATGACCTTCTCAAGGTCAAAAAAGGTCAAAAAGGTCTGTTTTCAACTTGCTTCAAATTGACTAAAAAAAAATTTCAAAATCATCTACATGTTCTCAGAAATTCAAATCTGACTTTAGATTTGACTTAAGATTTGACATTTGACCTTCAATGACCTTCTCAAAGTCAAAAAAGGTCAAAAAGGTCTTTTTTCAACTTGCTTCAAATTGACTAAATTTTTTTTTCACAATCATCTACATGTTCTCAGAAATTCAAATCTGACTTTAGATTTGACATTTGACCTTCAATGACCTTCTCAAGGTCAAAAAAGGTCAAAAAGGTCTGTTTTCAACTTGCTTCAAATTGACTAAATTTTTTTTTCAAAATCATCTACGTGTTCTCAGAAATTCAAATCTGACTTAAGATTTGACATTTGACCTTCAATGACCTTCTCAAGGTCAAAAAAGGTCAAAAAGGTCTGTTTTCAACTTGCTTCAAATTGACTAAATTTTTTTTTCAAAATCATCTACGTGTTCTCAGAAATTCAAATCTGACTTTAGATTTGACTTAAGATTTGACCTTCAATGACCTTCTCAAGGTCAAAAAAGGTCAAAAAGGTCTGTTTTCAACTTGCTTCAAATTGACTAATTTTTTTTTTCAAAATCATCTACATGTTCTCAGAAATTCAAATCTGACTTTAGATTTGACATTTGACCTTTAATGACCTTCTCAAGGTCAAAAAAGGTCAAAAAGGTCTGTTTTCAACTTGCTTCAAATTGACTAAAAAATATTTCAAAATCATCTACGTGTTCTCAGAAATTCAAATCTGACTTTAGATTTGACTTTTGACCTTCAATGACCTTCTCAAAGTCAAAAAAGGTCAAAAAGGTCTTTTTTCAACTTGCTTCAAATTGACTAATTTTTTTTTTCAAAATCATCTACATGTTCTCAGAAATTCAAATCTGACTTTAGATTTGACATTTGACCTTTAATGACCTTCTCAAGGTCAAAAAGGTCAAAAAGATTTTTTTTTCAAAATCATCTACATGTTCTCAGAAATTCAAATCTGACTTTAGATTTGACATTTGACCTTTAATGACCTTCTCAAGGTCAAAAAGGTCAAAAAGATCTGTTTTCAACTTGCTTCAAATTGACCAAAAAATTTTTTTAAAATCATCTACATCTTTTCAGAAGTTCTAATTTGACTTTACAAGTTCTCAGAAATTCAAATCTGACTTAAGTTTGAACTCATAATATTGTGAGCAACTAGGTGGTGACATTTTGTCATGTTAATGCCTTGTCTTATTTTAGCATCCAGTTCATCCATAGAATATAAAATATACGTTGGTAGCGACCAAGATTATACAAAGTCCACTCTATGTAGAACGCAGACAATACAAATCAAAGAAAACATGGTTATACAATGTGAAAATCACCTAGAGGGCAACTGGATCATTATCAAAAGAGCAAGTGGTTCTATGACTATATTGTCGCTGTGTGAAGTAAAAGTAAATGGTAATCTAAATTATACCACAGGAATATATCAATAAACATAATAACTGATAAACAAAAGTAACCCAAATCTAAGGCCAATATAACATCATATTGACAACTGTTTGATAATGCAATAACTTAAAGCAAGACATTTTTTGAATTACGATTTATGTATTGTTTGCAACACCACCTCTGAAATCTTCAAATATGCTTTATTTGTATATCAAAGATGATAAAAGGGAACGAACCAGTCGCGATCGTCAATAGGAAAGACACTAAATGAATATTCTATTCTTGAACATACTCTTATTATGTTTCAGTATGCGAGAAAGGATACTTTGGATCCACCTGTAGCTCCCGGTGTCATTGTAAGGACAGTTCGGAACATTGTGACAAGTGGACGGGCGTTTGCACATCTGGCTGTGCTGATGGGTGGAAGGGAACGGGATGTGACCAAGGTAGGGATTCATATAAAATGTGTAAATGTTTTGACCAGACTTGTGGCTGGCAAATAAAAATCCTCAAATATATTGTTAACATGATTCACTTTTCTCGTCAAATGAACTGAAAACTAGTAATTATTTTAAATATATGGAAGCCGATTTGGGAGAAGATATCACGCTGACTAAAAGCTTCTAAGTTTAATGGTGTTTCCGATGTTTTACCATTATTATGTTCATTGTATTCATATTAAGAGTGTGATGCTGGTACATTCGGAAGTGGCTGTGACAAGACATGCCATTGCAAAGACAACGCTGAATGTGATAAAGCAACTGGAGAATGCTCCAATGGCTGTGGTGCAGGATGGACAGATGATGCAGATAATGGACCATGTCAGCGAGGTTGGTAACTACATCATGAACAGTTCTGTGTATACGTATAAATTCGATAGGGAATGTAGCTTTGGAATATGATATAACGCCTGTCGTTTGGTCGACATTGGGTACTTTCTTTCCATGCGAGTGATCCTCTTTGTGTTTTAGGTAGGGGAATACATTATTGCGACATTTGATCTATACATTTTTATTCTTTGTAATGTTTAGAGATTGTACATATTTAGGATTGTGATTTTATTTTGGTTCTTTATAACATTAAACGTGTTAACCTATAACTATGTCTAGCATGCTCCAGTGGATACTGGGGTGACAACTGTGAGCAAAGATGTGACGATGGCTGCTCTGGGGGAACATGTGACAGATTTGATGGTTCTTGCGGGTGTGCAGATTACTACTTAGGCGCTAAGTGTGAAATATGTAAGGAAAGGATTACTTGTATTAATTTATTCAGAGCAGTTTTGATACATAGATTAAATGCTTCAATAATAGAAGATGAAGATTCGTTATGACTTCTAAATGTACGTAAAACCAGTATCATTTAAAAGTTGCACGATGCACTCAGGTGAATTATTGTAAGGGTAGGGAGCTATGTTTGAATTGTAACCGCTTATGAGCTTAAAGATTTTAATGACTGGAAATGTATATATTAGAATTTTTAAAAATGTAATTACTCTTAAAAACATTGATGAAGGAATTTCATTAAAGAAAATACTGTATTAAGCACATTGTATTCCTTGCAATTTATTCTTGTCCTAGACCTCCCAGTGATGACAAGGCCACCTGTGCTTGTGGAAGAAAGTGTAACAGCTGACTCAGTCAGTGTGACATTCAACCAATGGACAACAGGAGTAGATACCGGTGATGCAAACGAAGTTACTATAAAACATTACATCGTACAATATTGTAATGAACCCCGTGTGGGAGACATATGCACCGATGGACCAAAGGTAAGATATATTTGAAAATACAAGACTAACCATTATAAGACTCTACATATTAAGGCAAAATAAGACGTGATGCGGTTGGTCTTCAACCAAACAAACCCCGAACAGCTATAATATTTGGTGATACTAATGTCCCTTTTAGGTAATTTACTTTACTCTTATCATAATCATGACATACCTAAATGTCATCACAGGTTGATCACCTAGGAGAAGGCAACACAAGCACAGTTGTTGTAACTGGCTTAGCATCAAATAAAGCTTATAAATTCAGAGTTGTGATCTATGCGGAGTATGAGGGTCAACTTTATCAAGGAAGACCTGGCCCAAGAGGTGCCGAGTCAAAAACGCTTTGTGAAGGTAATGCTGTGAGTTACATAATTCGTTAGAAGTGTGCGATTCTACGCTTCTGTGCTTCTTATTGCATGTCCGTGTAGTGAGAAATGTGGATGGTTTAATGAAACAAAGCTGATCAGAATACACAGCTATTGATTGCTTTTTTACCAGTGAAACGTAGTGAGTTTTTCTTGTGTCTCAACAGTAAAGAACGTATCTTAAATCGTAAATGAGAATGTTCTTCGATAACACTTGTCAAATAAGTTAAATTGATTGGCCTATCCCCACCACCATATAAAGAAATAAACAAATACATACCCAAATTGAGAAGTAACACAATTGTTATGTGTCTTCATTTTATTATTTTAGCTCCAATAGAAGGATGCAATATAACAGACACTACAACCAGTAAAAATGTTGATAAAACCACTACGTCAATCTCCCTCACTTGGACGGTACGATTTCAAATATTTCATTCAACATAAATACACCCAATAATATTTTGATAACTAAAATATGTTTACCTATATCTGCCCCGTCTATCTGCCTTTTGTTCGAGACGCGTGAGCTCCTTGCGTTATTCACCTACGAGTAATTTCTGATCATATAAACATGTTTTCTAGTATCCCCCTATGGACACATGGGGTTGTAACAGTCTCACTAAAGTAGAAGTCCTTTACAAAATTAAAGTAACCTCTGTTTGGAGCACCCTCCCAATGGAAGACACTAGAACTACTGAATATACAATCCCAGCTCTTGATTTCTTCACCACATATGCATTCAAGATTAGAATTACTAATGATGCTGGATTCAGTGTGAACAGCACTATTGAAGAGTTAAGAACCCCAGAAGGAGGTAAATGAGAAATCGAAAAAAATATTAAATAAGCTATAACATTATTCAGATGTGTATGTTTGCAGTGTATGTTAGGAAACAAAAATATCTAGAAACCAGAAACAATGTAAAATATCAAAAGTATGCCATATTGATTTCTGGGGAAAACGTGGGATTGCTTATGTTAAGTGTATTTTGGAAAGGAATACCTATTTGTAAATATGCTTGTTTCAGTACCAAGCGCTCCAAGGAATTTAGAGATGATATCACGCGGGAGTGACTTTGTCAAACTACAGTTTGAACAACCTGCTAATAAAAATGGAATCATTACTAACTACAATGCAAGTATTACACAAGCTTTAAATCCTAAAGGCCCTGGGAATTACTTCCTGCGAAAGCTATTTGGATTCAAAATCTAATATGGCTCTCGAAGTGAGTAACCTGGGAAAAGTTTAAACCACGTTAGCTTATCTTACCAAATGTCTTACACACTGATATTAAAATATGATATGTGAAACTTTTCAATTTCACTAAGTTGTTTTGATGGACTTTTTGTCCGAAAAACTGTGTATTGTTTTGTTGTCACATATCTATTTATAAAGATTAAGAGGAGAAAGTCAAATATTTGAAAATAAAAAAAAACGTTTTTTCAAAAATTTTCTCAACCAACTTTTTAAATCCTGAAAACTATATTTAGATGGTTGAACAATGTTTTTAATCGTTGCCCTTAAAACATTCCTTAAAACATGCTTTTACATTGCTACGTTTTTATTAAAAAATGTCTTAATAAAGTAGTGTTTTTTGAGAACATTACATTTTCAGGCCACGTGTTCAAGTGTGTCTGAACAAATTGGGCATTTGTCATCATCAGTTGACGATCCAACACTTGAGATTGTGATAGAGGGCCTAACACCAGAAACAAGGTATAAATGCACCGTGTACGCAACTACGAGCGTCGGAGAAGGACCATCATCAATTTCTATTGATATCAAGACCACCAAGATACGTAAGTTTTTGTTATTTGTTCCATTGAGGCTTTTGAACTGGTTTTCTCTTTTATTTTTCTATTTGTTTTTCTTATGTTTGTATCAATATTGATAATATTATATTGGTAGTCATTTTAGCCAGAAACATTATACGATTTCTTCGTTTTTTAATTTATCAATCATTTACATATTATATCAACATTAACAATTTGTGTGGTGTTCACCATTGTTTTTACTGAAAAATCAAATGTTTTGAGTAAACGCTTCAACTAATGGTGAGACTTGAGTGAGACTTTTTGAGTGAGACTTGTTTTGCTCTCATCTAGCGCCGAATCAGATTCCGCCTGAAGACCTTAAAACTGGCGAAGTTGATGAACAAACAGTAAGAATATTATTCAGAGAGGGTGCTGTGAAACAATCAAAGGCTGAGTAAGTTGCAGGGCCAGTATATTAGACTTGTATAATCGACAAATTATTTGAGCACCACTCGAATTCTTGGTCTACAAAACATACTGTGAGAAACAATTATCGGGTCTATTCATCTTATCCCGTGCCAGGACTATAGACTATAGTCCTGGTACATAAGGGTTATGTACTGGGAGGTTTTGGATATGGGGTTTATCCAGAGGGATATATGCATATCTACCTGAGGGACCGTAGGGACCGAAGGTAGATGTGCATATCTCACGAGGGATGAACCCTATATCCAAACCGACCGTACATAACTGCTTTATCCTATACCAAGTTGAGTTTTCAGGGGCAAATGGCCATTTCAATAGTGCAAGGTGTAAAAATATACAAATCATTCGTATGCAAAGTCATTTTATTGCATTACCGGAAGCAGGAAGATATGCACAGGAAGCGGGAAGATATGCACCTAAGCGGGAGATATAGCGGGAGATATGGAGGTTCTGGATATGGAAACCTCAAAATTAGGATACGGGATATATCTTACCAACTTATCTCCCTAAAACTCTACTTGGCATAGGATAAGGGATAATATTCATCGACATATACCAACATACACCCTGTTCGATGGATAATACACACTCCATATTCTAATATGATACATGACGTAACAATAGCTAGAACAATTGATTTACTGGTCTATATTGGAATATGTTAAATTCATAAATGCAAATAGTTGTGTTTCTTGTCAATTTTGAATTAGAATCGTAACAAAGACCTCGATTTTATGATTTATGTCAAATATATGACCTCAAATTTATTCTGGCGATTGCCAAAGACCTCAATTGCTATGATACGACGTCAGATACTGTATCACACGGCATTTTTACATGCTTACTTACTTTTAAAACCGCGATATCTCGACAGCAAAATCATATTGTTCTACAATATTTTGTCATTAGTTGAACATATATGTCCAGGAAGTATTTTGCCTATCGGGATTCAAAAAACGTAATTTGGAACTTTTAAATTGAGAATCACGCAAGCCGTATTATGTGACTTTCTACGCTAAAACCTGGTGTGGACTGTAACATTTTGAAGAAAAATGATTTTAATTTTAAACGAAAAATGAATATAACTTTTTCATTTCTTAACGGATCTTTCTCAAATTTTCACAATACTTAAATTCACCATTTTGGAAAAGACTAACAACTTCTGTGTGATGACGTCATAATATAACAATGCTAACTTAACGCTTATATTTATGCCAAAAAAGTGTGGACAGGCAGAATTTCGTACCAACAAGATAGGCCTATATCTTTTGATTAATTAAACATTAAATCGTTTGGAAGGTGAATTATTATTTTTTGATTCCTTAAAGGCATATCATATTCTACATTTTTATCAAAAAAATATATCATTTCGATTAAAATTCAACCTGTAAGAAGTATAAATTGAAAGAAATATGAAGTGAAGCCATGTGAAAAATTCACAAAATTACGTTTCATTTTTTGTGTTTAAATATCTCTAATTGAGTGATAAACATTCAAAACGTTCCAGTGTTTCAACATGTTCTTTTAACTATATCCCTTACTTTATACAATTAATTTCATTCAATTTGAACCAGTATGTATTGAGATAGACATCACTTTATCATCGCAACAACAGGTGAAGCCTTTACAAAATAAGACGTTACGCCGTTATGTTCTCCTTTATTATTCATTGCTTTAACTAAATAAAACTAAATATTCGAGTTAAAATAAATAACAAATAATACATTTAACAATCCTTAATATTTTCCCGTCTGTGTATATCAGTTGAATATGACAAGGGGCTCTGTAAAAGAGTCTAGAATGACGGTGCGACAACGAGAGCGCAGGTCCGAAAAGCGTGACAAAAAAGAAAACAGGTAGTTGAAATGTCTACTTTCTGGTGATTCTAATTCTGTATATCGTGACACAACCTTTTTGAATATAGAATTGTATTGAAGCGCACATTAATCTGAACAAAACTTGAAATTTTAAAGAAGATTCCACGAATATTTAAACTTTTGCAATAACTTGAAGGAGCATTGCGCGTATTTATCGCGTAAATCCTCGCATTTTTGTCCGTAAAATGAACAATTACAATGTTACGCCGTGATGTACAGTATCTGACGTCGTATCTATGTGATTTCGGTCTTTTACTGATGAACACAATAAAATTTGAGGTAATATATTGCGCCATAAATCATAAAATCTCAGTCTTTATTCCTTAAATATATTTCGCTTATAAAATGCAAACATGTAAAATAATGTGTAAAAATGAAAAAGATATAATATAACATCAAACATTATACACTCTCTATTCCTTTTAATTCCTCAAATGAATTGATACAATTACTTTTAGATATATACTTATCGTTGTTGAGGAAGTTTCTAAAGTGAACAGGGAGAAAAGGGAAGCATTTATTGACCTACAAAAACTATTTTCCTATGATGACGCCAAGAAATATGGAGCTCGATATTATGTTACTGCTGAAATAGAAGCGGAATTTGTTTCTGATAGTTTTGTTATTGGCAATGGTTTTGACTATAATGGGTACACTAATAAACCATTATACGGAGGGAAAACATATCAAGTGCATGTTGGATCAGTCAAAAAATCAGATGAGGTAAAACGTATTTGATAAAAGATGGAACAAAATCATGCATATAAATAATAAGACATTATATAACATATAATGAGTAATGTTTGTATATCACAGTTTGGATTTTTAGATTTGAATAAATAATTTAAGACTTCTACACCCAGTTTTATTCATCACAAGAATCAAATTCTCGTGTAAAATTAGAAATGCAATAATCTCTTTCCAGCTAATAATTGGCTCTTTTACAAAACTACCAACATTGGTGAACGGTAAGTTGTTTATTTGTTAATAGTGGTATATTTGATTTCTGTATCGCAAACCTATATATTTATTCTACGTTTTTGTTGTTTTTGCAATATTTTAGAAGAATATACAATTTTCCCATTGAAAAATAATTATGTGCTTCTTTTAATATTGGTCAACAGTGGAGCCTTCAAAAGACCATGATGCAAATGGAAACAATGTTGGTGCCATTGCTGGGGGAACCATTGGCAGCCTAGTTGGTGTGGTCCTTATTGCCTGTGTTGTGATATTAAGTATACGGAATCGAAGATTGCAAAAAGATATGAAAAGGGAGAATGGGTAAGGATATTTAAATGTGTTTAAGTTGAGAAAGTTGAAAATAGATGATAACTTAATGAACCGATCATTTTATTATGTCACCAGATGGTGTTCGGCGTTTGAAGGTTGACTTCTGTAACAAATGGCAGGTATTGACATTTTGCATATTAATGCCTTGTAATTTTTTCATATATTCGTCGTTATATACGTTTATTGATTTATATTATGTAATTCTCTCTATATGACAGGGGCAATGCATTGCAATTAGAAACTGCCCAATATGAGGACGTGAACATGTCTAACATACCAGAATACGATGATGTATACATTCCTGGAACAAATAACAAGGACGCAGATAAGGTATAACGTCATGCAATAGCACTTGCACTTTATACGAATTGAATAAAATTCTGATATGTAACATTGTGAAAAACTGAAAAATCATAATGTTATTTAGGACACTTTCGCTCAAATCGCTCATTTGCACATCAAAAGTGCAACAATAATCCATTTAAATGAATGATTGCGATTCGATGCATCGTTCACCTAGTGAGCAAAAACATATATAAACTATACTAGATACACGCACCGTTGTATTTTCTAAAATGCATTTAATATGTGAGAGGAGATGATATAAGCAATTTGTCCAAGCCTTAACATTTGTTATGTTAATAATCATTTCAATGATGCATTTTACAGACCAGTGAATATGAGACTTTATCAACCATAGATGAGTATAGACTCTCAGACATTGATGTGGGACGGACATTGGGTGAAGGAGAATTTGGAATTGTAAAATATGTCACCATTCATAATGCTAAGAAAGGGGATATTAAAGGTGCTGCTAAGATGTTAAGAGGTGAGAAGACTACAGTAGTTAGGGCAGTCATTTGAACTTATTTTATCTTTTTCAAATTCCATGAAATGAAACCTTATTGGAAAGGGACCTTTCTGCAAGGCTCTCTCCAAATCCCCCCCACACACACACCAATATCGTATGTGCTTCTTATTTGAAAATGTTTTACTTTCATTGTTTTTCATTGACAGAATTACTTCCTGGTTACTTTAATTTATCACGAGAAGTTCAAAATTAAACATGATATGAGAAAACTTGTTTCTTTAGGTTTGTTCTGCGTCTCAGTGGATACATAATATATTTCCCCACTCTCAACGCGAGCTAAGTGTGTATATCTGTATTAAATTATTGTTATTGACATATTCCAATCTCTATATAAAGGCATTATTTGCCAGATTTCTGTACAAGACGGGTGCCGTACTACAGTAATTCATTTCAGGCAATGCAACAGATGAAGATAGAGACAAACTTAAAGAAGAGCTACGTCTGATGCTTGAAATACCTCGCCATGACAACGTAGTTGCAACATTGGGACAATGTAACTCGAAAGGTAATACACAGTAGCTGATCCCATAATGTATATTATTCCATAATACTACTGTTTTTCCTGGGAAATAAAATCATATTATCCCTCTTAAAATCATATATACTCGAAAAATCATATTGTCCCTGTAAAAAATCATATATACTCGAAAAATCATATTGTCCCTGTAAAAAAATCATATTGTCCCTATTATTTTAAAAAAATCATTTTTTCAATTTTTTCATCTTTTCCAAAATTGCAATTTTTCAAAGATTTTCATTTATTTATATAAAAAATTCGTTTTTGAATCATTCAATTTTTCAATTTTCTTAAATATTTCTTTTTCCTTGAATTCTCAAAAATTAAATGATGGAATAAAAAGGTTATTTCATGCTTGATTTTCAATATGAATTTTATTCCACGGGAAATATGACATTGACCTCGGTAAATTTTATATTGACACTCACTCGCTACGCTCGTTCGGTCAATATCATATTTCCCTCGGTCAATATCATATTACACTGGAATAAAATTCATATTGAAAATCAAGCATGAAATAACCTATATTTATAATTGAAGAGAATATGGCAATTTAACATAAAAATAAACAAATGATTTCTTTTTCTTCCTTCTTTATGTTAGATTGTCTCCATTACTTTGTACATTATATCTTTTTCATTATCATTTGGGATTGGTGATTTTGCTTCCTTGTCACTGGTTGTGTGTTGCTTTTTCTAAATGTGCCTCGATATACACTCCCCTCCATAAGTTTGGCAACCTTAGCTCATTTCAAAATGTCGAATTTATCATCAATTTTTGACTTATTGTTATTGAGGAAAAAATGAGAAAATTTGGAGGTATTTGAAATAAAGTCACATTACGTTTCCATCAATGATATAAGTATTTTCATCGTAGTAAATAAAAATTCAAAGGTAAAGAGGCTTTAACACGTAGTTCAATGGGGTAGCTAAGGTTGCCAAATTTATGGAGGGGAGTGTACTTTCTGGTAGTTTGAGTTTGGCCCATTTGCTTACATAAATGAAATTTTGTTTTTGTAAATAAAATATTTTTCAGATGGGCCAATGATAATTGTTGAATATCTTCCACTTGGCAACTTACGAGATTACCTGAGAGACAATAAAGAAAAATATATATCTAATCCTCAATGTGGGCAGGAACTTATTAGGTTTTCCCTTGATGTAGCTAAAGGCATGGCACTTCTTTCATCATTGAAGGTACAATTTCTAGATTTTAAAGATGCCATTGTTTCAATATTTCTTGAGGTGAACAAAACAATATGCAATATAATGTAAATAATAAAATGCAATGCAATACAATATGATTCAATACAATACAATACAATGTACAATATAACATCTTGGCGAAAGGCTACCGTCCTCATAGCCAGACTCAATTCTTAATTGATGACATTTTTATATGAGTATCTTATTTGAAATATACATGAATATATAACAAAGGGATTGGTATTTCAGCTTGTACATCGTGACTTGGCAGCTAGGAACGTGCTTCTAGATGCAAACAAAGTTTGTAAAGTTTCTGACTTTGGCCTCTCGCGTGATGTGGGGGAAAGAGATATCTACAACAGAAGTTCGACGGTTAGTAAATTTTGTTGAAGTTTGAGATTTATTTTTACATATGAATATGCAAATTGTTTTTAAACACAACTAAGCGAGAAAGTCAGAAATTAGTAATTTCAAATTACCATTTTGCCAATTACCATATTATTTCACACTGATGAACAAGTTGTACAGATATACTTTATCTTGAATAAGAGTGCTTTCGTATTATCTTAAAGGGTCCTCTGCCAATTCGCTGGCTGGCTCCTGAAGCTTTGTTTCACAACATGTACTCCACCAAGAGTGATGTCTGGGCGTATGGCATTCTTATGTGGGAGATCGTTACATTTGGTAAGAGGAAACCCTCAGTTGAAGTATATTGTTGAATCAGCTTATTAGTATAGTTTCATTTTAGTGAAGCATGGATATGTCATATCACTATAAAACCAATTGACTTCGAATTAAACTAAGTTGTTTTATCTTATATCACAAAAATTCATTATCTCATTCCGTGAATAACGTAGACTTTAATATCGATAAGCTCACTAAATAAAATAAACAAATGCATTGCACAAATTACAATTTATTTAGTCTTGTTGTTAAATTCTTTTAAATAGGGTCAACGCCTTATCCCGGGATGAAGAGTAGCGAAGTGATGAAGATGGTACAACAAGGGAGAACATTAGAAAGACCAGAGCACTGCAGTCGACAGATGTAAGTAGCTGTACAAAGATTCTTATAATCTTAAGACATTGATTTGTTGTAATCTCGGTTTAAAGTAATAAACATCATGACATTTACATTTTGTCGAGCTGCATTTGTATAAAATTTGGAAATTCAATATTATATATTTTTTCAAGATATGATCAGATGATGTTGTGCTGGCAAATGGACGTTGGAGCAAGGCCGACTTTTACCAATATTGCTTCATCCATCAAGGTGGGTGGTACAGCAATTCTAGCACAAAACCAAGCCTCTCTTTTGTATTATAATATTATATTTTATATTAACAAATTGATTGCAAAGTCCATTTGTTCCGCTCTCCTTATCGCAACAGACCTTTCCAATAAATTTTGCCACCTTTTGGTATATTAAAAAAGCTATGCTATATTGGCTAGATTGATGATGTCATTGGTTGTTGGCGGTAGAAGTTTGTCCAGGCAAAAATAGGATTTAGCTATTGCTAATTTTGAAAAAGAACAGCTTATGACATCACCAATCTAGCCAATATAATATAGGTTCTTTGATGTCTCAAAATGTGGCAGGATTTACTGAAAGGTGAATTACAAGTATATTACGCTTCCCTCCAAAGTTTCAGAAAATGACATTAAGTCCCACATAAACAGGGTGTAACACTACAAGCAGTTTACAAATTTATCGAGGGGTCTTTAATGTAATCAGAATGGTTTTATTTTGCCTTTATTTTTAGGATATTCTCAAGGAAAAGGACGTATATTTGGAGCTCAATATTTACGATGAGGGACGCTATCTTAATCTTAAATGGGACAAAACTCTAGGCGAGAAACTGTAAATGATCTACCTTGTTGAATGTATCCCCTAGGCAAGAAGCTGTAACTGACATAACGTAAATGAAACTAGCTAGGGAACAGTGAAATTCACAATCGGAAAGAGTAGCTTTACTAGATTTTGAATCTTGGCTATGTATATAAAAAGAGAAGAGTGCTTAGGTGACTAGGGATAAAACACTGAAATAATGCCTCCGTCGCATTAATGTGACTCGGGCATTAATGTCCATGTTCTTGTTCCTCAAATATTTCTATATACTGATTATAATGACTTTAATGTATTTAACATGCTTATACATATATTTGGATATTTGATATAACAAAAGAAATATACATAAAAAAGACTCTCTACCACAGTTTCGAATCCCTCTTTGTTCGAACAATAACAGAAATGTGGCAGTAAGTCTTATATGTGTCTCTCAAAAACTAGTTATGAAATATGTAATTTATATTTGTAAATAAATGCATTTTGGGGGCATTTGCGTTCGACTGTATTTCGTATATACATATTGCAATCTTCATTAAAACTCCAGGATTTAGGATCCATTAGGTAATGGACCTGTGAAAATGAATGAATAGTCATTAAATAAAAGGACAGTTTCCATTACTTCTAATCATAAATAACACCAGAATATTTTTACATTTCACAATCAACCGACTTGTTGGAACCAGTTTGATCTAGCCTAAACCGTGTTTTGTAAGTATCCATGGACTTTCAATAGACTTGAGCCAATGCATGAACCCTGACTATATATCTTTGTGAATACCTGTCACAGGCGTATGAACTGAACTCTGTCATGGTGATAACTGCTAGAAATTTGCAATGCAGAAACTATTTTTCCTTTAAAGGAGGAGGGAAATTAGCGCAACAGATTTTGGACAGTCATATGTTGGATTTTGGCCATTGTCTGAGGATTTACACAATTGCATATGTTAGGCAAATGCATTACCTTCAGGAAAATCACTTCTAGAGTTGATAAAATAATTTCGACTTTCTGACAGGGTAGATGCAAACGATTCACCTACATGTTTTTTTCTGAAATGTTTTCCTAATTTTCGACCCCTTCCATCCCTGCTTTTTTAATTTTTCTTGCATCTTTATGTTGCGTTTTGACACATAGTTAACCACTTTAAAGGAATAAGTGATTCCTTCGGGGGTTTTAAAGATACCCATTATGGGTGACCAAACTTAGCTGAAAGCAATGATTTTTCCCTATTGGAAAGTAACATGGGAAATATTGTTTTCCACTTTATCTAAAAGGAATCATTTATTCGTTTTAAGGGATTAACTTTGTGTCAAAACGCAACATATTGATGCAAGAAAAATTAAAAGAGCAGGGATGGAAGGGATTGAAAATCAGGAAAACATTTCAGATGAAACATGTGGGTGGGTTGTTTGCATCTACCCTGTCTCAAAGTCGAAATTATTTTATCATCTCTAGAAGTGATTTTCCTGGAGGTAATGCATTGGCCTAACATATGCACCTGTTTAAATCCCCAGGAAATGGCCAAAATCAAACATATGACTTTCCAAAAGCTGTTGCGCTAATTTTCCTCCTCCTTTCCCTCAAAATGACCTTCAATTGTCTTTGAGTTGCCTTTCAACGACACCACTGGATTCTGAAACTTTGCAATTTTATGTAACTTTCTATGTGGAACAAATTGATAAAAAGTGTGTGTGTCTCAAAAACGCAACAAACAGAAAGATTGTTATACCACAAATTCAGTCATAATTACATCAATTTCATTTAATTTACAATGAAGCTACATGTCCCCTCTTTCCAATGATATGTCATTTATTCATATACGATCGTGGACCACTGAATAATCATTGTTTCTTGCCACATGGGTAAAATGCCCTTGTGCCAAGTTTTAAACATCTAAATTCAACTGATCCTTATTATGCAATCGGGTAAATCATTATTTAATTGTGGCTGAGGATTAACTTTTGATCACAAGACGTACATGACATACATAACAGACTTAGATCTACTAAGAAAAAATGATTTCACTTAATGTATTTATCGGTATCCATGATCGTTTAGTTAACAGCACATCACACATGAAAAAAGAATTGGAATCATTGAAACAGTTAGTCAGTTAAAGTTACTTTCTTTTTCTGTTATCTTATGAATGATTTTTCATGCTAACTACATTCTACAGTTCTATGCCCATCATTTCTCTGCAAGTAGATATTGGTTCACCTCTTCATGTCACGCAAAGCATTTTGAAACATTTGTGGGTTCAGCAATCTCAGTATTAAATAGCCAGTGAAACATTCTAAAATCCTTTGGGAACCTTATGGGCGGGATGGGGACCAAGCATACTTGTACATACAGACTGAACATACTACATGGTTTTTGTATTGTGTAAATTCCTGTGTTATATTTTTAATATTTACTATGCCGCTTATGTTATTAAGTTAACAAATGCATACTTTTGTAATAATATCAATACCTAGGAATTATAAATAATTTGAAATTGAAAAAAAAATTGTGGGTTCTGGCAGAGAGAAGCAACCTCATGGGTGATTTTCTGTTGTAGCGTACAATGTCTAAAGCTTGGGCCAGAGCAGATTCTGGACCATTGTGCAAAAAGATTGATTATTCGGTGGACCGTAGTCACATATAAGTAAATGACATATCATTGGAAAGAAGAGACACGTGGCCTCATGGTTAACTAAATAGAATCAGTGTAGATCACTGGATTTGTGATTTCTCAATGTTTTTGTTTGTTGCGATTTTTAACCCCCTGTATAACATGATACGATGGCAATGTCACATATATATGATTTTATAGGGGGTACATACATATGAAACACCCTGTGCATGTAGAGTTCAATCTGTGTTTACAGAATGTATGGAGATGAATATATTCATCTGACCAAAACTTTTTGACAAATCATGAAATTGAGTGACTATTGCAAGTTTTTATATACATGTAGGCTACAATTCAAGCCTGTGATGATGTGGCCCAATCAAATCATAAAAACAAGTGCTGACATCTATATAAACTCCCTGATAACAATAGACCGAAATTGATGACTGATGAATTTTTGAAAATCTTCATTCCCATTTAAACCTATGCGAAATGGTGGGTTCGGGGCAAATCAGATTTTAGAATCTCTATGCTGTAAAAGATTCATAAAAAAATATTTTAACTTAGAAAATTGATTGTAGAACTTTTGCACGCGTAGTTTTTGGTCTACTTTCTGTACTTTCTATTTGGAGACCTATTACTTTTTTAAACCAAGTTTTTGTTAAGTAAAATGGAAAAGTTAGCAAATTCGCTTATCTGCTTAAACTTTTTTAAGATATTCTTATGACATGCGCCAAACTTCAACTACCAGTTCACATTAGTTTACATGGGAATGTCGATTTTCGTCATTTCATAATTTTGTCATCAATTTTCGACTTTCTGTATTTATTGAAAGAATTAGAAAACTTGGAGATACTGGAAATGATGTAAGTTTATATTTTCAGCCCTAAAAGTAGTTTTTTCTTTACATATTAGGCCAATGTGAATTCATGTAGTTTTCTCACATAAACAATCGTTCTGGTACAATGTTTACTAAGTCCGTTACTTAGACTACATATCATCGTGTTACACTCACCTCCATAAGTTTGGCAACCTTTTTTCCCCATTGAACTACGTGTTAAAGCCTCTCTACTTTTGGATTTTTATTTACTTGACCGGCGATGAAATAACTTATAATATTAATGGAAACGTAACTTGACTTTATTCCCAATACCTCCAAATTTTCTCCATTTTTTTCCTCAATTACAATAGGTCGAAAATTGATGATAAATTTGATGAATTTTTGAAAATCGTCATTCCCATGTAATCCAAAGGGAAATGGAGGGTTCGGGGCAAATCAGAAATCAGGATATCTTTTCAGTAAAAGATTCAGCAAAAAATATTTTCATATAGAAAATTGAATTGTCTAACTTTTATGAACACTAAGTGTTTAGTTTATTTGATGAATATTAAAGTTACAGCGCTTCAAAGTCATTTTTGAAAATAATTTTTCGCCTCCTGTGTTATTTCAATTAGAGAGGTTTTTTGAAAAACAATTTTGACTTTAAAGCCTTATAACTTTCTTGAACCTGAAGAAACATATCAATTTTTTGTTAAATAAAGTTAGCAAATTCAATTACCTGCCTAACTCGTATTTTTTGCAAGGACTCGGATGAATGGATATTCTGCCATATGACTTGCGGCAAACCTACCATTTCCCATTGGTTAACATGGGAATGTCGATTTTCAAAAATTCATCAAATTTATCATCAATTTTCGACCTATTGTAATTGAGGAAAAAATTGAGAAAATTTGGAGGTATTGGAATTAAAGTCAAATTACGTTTCCATTAATAGTAGAACTATTTTCATCGCAGGTTAAGTAAATAAAAATTCAAAGGTAAAGAGGCTTTAACACGTAGTTCAATGGGGGAAAAAAGGTTGCCAAACTTATGGAGGGGAGTGTACATGCCATTAATAGTAGCTAGTTTTTTATGATACATATTTTAAACAAACTCGTTTCCTAAGATATTTTGGAGTTTTGTATGCGCGCGATACACATTACTGTATTGATTCATATACTCTCCATTCACGGTGACGTTGTGAAAAATCGCTACCTTAAGGTCTCTAATGTTTCTTGAATACATCTTTCAAGATCGGGCCTCGCTGAGCTTATAGAAATAGTTGAAATACCCAAAGGGGATACCTGAGTGACGGGGAGGGGGTATTTCGCATTGTCTCTTTATATTCCCTCTGGCACTTGTGCAGTCATATCAAATGAACCAAAATGTTTGTTGTTATCTATACTACCGAAGCAACGTAACGTTTGAAGAAACGTTCTTTTCATTTGGGCTACATCACGATTTCATTCATTTCAACTCCATTCGTCGTTGTCGCATTCTCAGTTTCTCAACCAGGAAGTTTAAATTATTCTTTACGAAAAACTTAGAAACAAACTGAGCCTTTATGCTTATGTGCCTTTGTAAACTCTTTTTACAATATAATAGAGACCATGTTTACCAAAGTACGTGGGGTATTTTAAAAGTTCCAAAGGGTCAATGAAAACCAATGCATACGAGTTTTAAATGCATTAACAAGATATTTTATGTGAACACATAACATAAATAATGGATTTGTGCTCGTGGAAAAAAACGTTTTAGTGATTAGGGGTTAAGAACATTAGATATCACATGATGACGACAGTCCAGCTCATTTGGCTATATCTATGTTTTTCCCTTGTTATAATAAGTCAACGAGGTAAGACAGTAGGTAATCACATAAAGAAGTAAAATGTAGTTTTCATTTAACAGTTTTAGATGTATAGGCTGGTGGTTGATATCGTGTTCATTTTCGGTATTGAATCATAGTGATCTACGGATAAAGTCGCCTAAAGGCTCACTTAGTAGTAAGGACTAAGGTAAAGAGTAAATATCAAAATGAAAAGCACAATCCGTTATTTTTGATTTAAAATCTGATGTATATGATAACAATACAAACAGTAACATCGCGGCGAACTATCGAACAGTAATAAATGACTCAAATATATCGATCATCAGAATTAGTACCACAAATAATGCGTAGATTGTTTGCCCATATAGTGAGTAAACTAATAGAAATATACATCATTTTTGTTGGTGCCGTTTTTACTCATTCTGTAAATAATTTTTGGGAATTTGTAGTTTTAAAACATATGTATTTCTCTTACATGTCTTATTGACTATTTTTCAGGTGAATGTGGCTATGTGAATGTAGCACAGAGCAGATCCCCACAACAGTCGTCTAATTACTATCAGTTTGACGCCAACTACAACAAGATAGAATCTTACTATAATGCCTTCAAAGTAAATGATCTTAACACAGCTACATGTTCCCAGACTAATGCTGACGATGGACCATACTGGAGAGTTCATTTAGATGGAAGTCAACAGATTAACAATATTGAAATAACAACACAGTCAAAGGGTAACAAAGACATGTAGTAATAAAATATTTAGATTTATCTCAAAAGTAAGCTTCAAATTGCAGTTTATTTCAAGAGAAGTGTTTTATTCAGTTTTTAGATACGATAAGGCTGATACCCACATTGAACGAGGCAATATTATAGTTTAATCATAAGTTGGCCATCATTGATTAGCACCATTCCTGTCCTCAGGCTACACTATTTTGAATATTTTGAAGGAAAACTTTGGATAAATATCTGAGAAAACAGTTCTTTCTCTTATAAAAAATAAACTTAGTATCTACATATTTCTTATTATCGTACCTTTCTCACGCCCGGTGATCGTAAAAATGGGACGGAGGGGGAGCATGCAATTTCTGCTAAAAAAATTCAACAAATCTGAGAGATTATTTTGTCAATAGAAATAAATACTTGTAGTGTGAAGTTATTGTAACATGATTAATGCCATTGGTGATTTTACAAAATACGTTAAATAAAACATAATGGAAAATAATGGAAATGGGACAATATGAAGATTTTAATTAGACAATGGGAAGTATTTTACTTGAAACATTTTCGAATCCTCTCCCAAGTAACATTTGAAGATGTTTTAATGCCTTGGTTTGTATTTATTTCAAACTTTAAATGCTGCAAAATGGTCAAATTGACCACACCCTCTTTTCAACATTTTTATGGGGCATGAGGCAATTTAAAAGTAAACCTCTTGAAAAAACAAATCGTCCAGATTTGCTGAATTTTCTTGCAGAAATTGCCTGCTCCCTCCCCCCCCCCCCCCCCCCTCTGTCCCATTTTTCTGATCATGGGGCGTGTTTCTGTATATATCAGTTAGATACCCAATGTCTACTTCTGATGACTTCACTATGGATGTGTTTTATAGATTCCCTATTTGATGCCCAAGAGGGAACGTGTACAGGATCTACAATTTCGATCTACGCTACGCTTGGCCTATTCAACTTCACAGCTTGTTTAGAAGGGTGTCGTGGTAGATCTGTCTGTAAAGGTTTTCGGGTTGTAATGCAACCAGGTAGTGGTATAAAGGAGTGTTACCTTTTCAGTTCCATGGCATGTGGCACAACTGCTGTACCAGACTCAAGAGGAAGAGGACACAGATACACATACTTTAAACAAGGTGTTAACATACACCTATGACACATAGATCTGCGATATGAAGATACAATAACAAACTTATCTAATATTAAACTATTCAATAGATAATATAAGACAGAATGCGATAAAACATACGAAAATATGCTCGGAAACAAAACAACTACGCTATAAACATAAAAACAAAGCTATAAAACATAAGAAACAAAGCTATAAAACATAAGAAACCATGCGATATATTTAATATTACAAAACACTATGCGATATGATTTTTAAGTTTCATATTCATGTTTAATTATTTAAATAATGGGTAACAATTCTATTCGAAAAATGTCTTCATAATATATAGTTTTCTTATTCTAGCATCCAGTTCATCCATAGAATATAAGATATACGTCGGAAGCGACCAAGATTATACAAAGTCCACTCTATGTAGAGCGCAAACAATATCTAACAAAGAAACAAGATCTATACAATGTGACAGTCATCTAGAGGGAAACTGGGTCATTATCAGAAGACCAAAAATATCAAATTATAAGACTGTGTTGCCGTTGTGTGAAGTAAAAATATATGGTAATCTAAATTATACCACAGGAATATATCAATAAACATAATAACTGATAAACCAAAGTAACCCTAATCTAAGGCCAATATAACATCAGATTGACAGCTGTTTGAAATTGATAATGCAATAACTTAAAGCAAGACATTTTTGGGATTATGATTTATATATTGTATGTAACACTACCTCTGAAATCTTCAAATATGCTTTATTTGTATATCAAGGATGATAAAATGTTTCAGTATGCGAGAAAGGATACTTTGGATCCACGTGTAGCTCCCAGTGTCATTGTAAGGACAGTTCGGAGCATTGTGACAAGTGGTCGGGCGTTTGTACATCTGGTTGCGCTGCAGGATGGAAAGGAAGGGGGTGTGACCAAGGTAGGGATTCATATTAAATGTGTAAATGATTTGACCAGAGTTGCGGTGTGCAAATAAAAATCCTCAAATATATTGTTAACATGATTCATTTCTCTCGTCAAATGAACTGAAAACTAGTAATTATTTTAAATATATGGAAGCCGATTTGGGAGAAGATACCACACGGACTAATAGTAGATGGGTTAACTACATTTAGACTTCATAGTAATGTATGATGCAAATGTCCAATTTTGCATCGAAGTACCTTAGGGCAATAGAAATTAATTTATCCAAAGACACAAGCTAGATGTCGCTTTATATTGGAAATATACACATTTTTCAAAATGGCCGCCAAAAATACATCAGAGACAATATCTTTGCTTCTGTGCATGCTACAATTATAAGATTGATGTCAAAAAATACAGTGATGTAGTCGTAGAATCTATTTTATTAGATCTTGAGTCTTGAAAATTAAGAACTGCCATAAATATAACAAAGAAGATATCTTACCTTACGAATACTTACAAATTAAGATATCTTACCTTGCAAAATGTCACCTTTGGCATGGAAATACATTAGGGCAATAGAAATAAATTTATTCAAAGACACAAGCTAGATGGCGCTTTATATTGGAAATATACACATTTTTCAAAATGGCCACCAAAAATACATAAGAGACAATAGTTTTGTTTCTGTGCATGCTACAATTATAAGAGTGGTGTCAAAAATACATTAATGTAGTTGTAGAATCTATTTAATTAGGTTCCGAGTCTTGTAAATTGTAAACAAAGAAGATATCTTCCCTTCTACGCATGCTACAATGATAAGAGTGGTGTCAAAGTATATATTAATATTAGGTTGTAGAATCCATTTAAATAGGCCTTTCATAATAAGAATTTTCACTTTATTGGAAATTATGTGTTTCTAAAAATGGCCACCAGAAAATAACAATTATCTTCACATCGGTGGATGTTACACTGATACGATTGGTGTCATTTTATATTTCTTGGGTAGGAGAATCAATTTCATTAAGTCTTGTACGTGAGATTATAGTTTTCACTTTATATTGGAAATATATGCAGCTGAAAATATAACAAAGATTGTATCTTTGCTAACAAAGAGTGTACCTTTGTTAACAAAGATTGTATCTTTGCTAACAAAAATTGTACTTTTTTAACAAAAACTGTATCTTTGCTAAAAGTTTCTTTGTTTCTGGGCATAATATTTCATAAAGTTGGCTTCAAAATCTACATTTTTGGGAATGTAAAATCTATTTAATTACTCAGATGCAAATAGGTAGGTACCATTTTCCCCACCAGTGGTTAATTCGGGTGAAATAACATTGCAGGGTATTACAAAGTTCCCTTGAATATTCTTAATTTTTAGTGGTTCACTTTTCATATTACTCTTTTGTATCTGATAGTTGTACAAATTAAAATGTCTCCAGTAAAATATATCCTCTGACCAAATCATGGATGATGTCTCTGCTTACCGAGTCTTCCACTAATCCAACCAACAAACTATTAAGCTTGTTGTTGATTTGCAACCATTTTGAAAAAGACATGTATGTATACACATACAGCACTGAATATTGTCATATTGAGAAAAATATTCTTATTTTCTCATTTGAACATTTTAGAGATTAAGATTTTAAGATTTTAAATGGCAATATGTCTTTCACCATGAGTACTTCCTGGCCATAAATAAATAAATACGGTGTTTATTATTAAAACAATGTGTTTTATTCTAAGTGAAGTCCCCAAGATTTTAAAATATGAATCCAACTTTCTGGAAAATTATGGATTAGGATCCCAAAGATGATCTTGTTTTTCTCAATTAAAACATATCAAAAGTTTCTTCACTTTATATCAACAATTACTTAAAAGGGGACGGCACTTGAAATGCGCTGAAGTTGAAAACCACATCTCCCATGCTATCCATTGTTTTCAGCATAGTTTCCGTCATCGCATATTGATATTCAAAACTACACTTTCAAACTGTTCTACTTTTGAAGAAGTGTAAGAGCCCTTGTTAGATATGATTTTTTGTAATATTTTCCACAGCCATTGAGAAAAAGGCATACATTTTCAATAAAAAGTGAAAATGTTTGTTTAACTTATATACATACAGTACAATATCAGATTTTCTGCTGATTTAATCATTTTGGTGACCATTTAGTCAATGCTAAAAATCATTTTTAGACAATAAAACATTTGAGATCTAACTTAGGGTACAGCTTGAAAATAACATTTTGGTAAAAAAATTGTTAAACCTGCAGATGTTATTTTCTGGTACAAAATAAAGTATGAAGGCATGTGTCAATTTCCTTGCTTTTTTCAGGAAAGTATAATTACATTGTCTTCTTTTAGAATATCTGGTAGGAGTTCAATGGGAACGCCAGGAAATTCTGATATTTCACATTTTCTATTTTTCCAAATTTTCTTTCAAAGTTTCCAGACAACACGTGAGCTACCATTGACCTGTTTCCACGTTTACTAAAAGCAGACAATGTATGTTTATGTTTATTTCCTTTTTTAAATTCACACAATTATACAAAGCATGAGTGGGTGACACTTAAAAAAAGTGTATATTCCCAGCAAATTTTTTACAATAAAAGTTGTGTGTTGTCATACCTGTTAAAGTGCAGTTGGGGACTTGTCTTTGCATTCAACCATACAAATGTTCATGTTTTGTAATGATACTTTCCTGAAAAAAGCAAGGAATTATACACATGCCTTCATGTTTAATTTTGTTACCAAAATGTTGCTTTCCAGCTGAACCTTAATATAATGTGACCATACCTTGCTTTTTTCTAGTAAGCAATAGCTTATCAATTCCTTCTCTGGGACATTTTGAATTTTCTGAGGCATTTTAAATCACACCATCTTCAAATTTATTGAGTACATATGGCCATACTTTGAAGGAATCTGAAGATAATTGCAAAATCATACATAATACAGAAAATGGACTGACAGACTGACGGACGGAGGGCTTCACTTTATCCCCACTGAACTTTCTTGTTGGGAAAATAAAGACTATAAACCTTATCAAATGGACTCTAGGACATCAATCTTACTATTGTAGCATGCATACAAGTGAAGATATCATCTTTGTTACATCTCTGGAAGCCTATTGAAAGAGGCATAATTTTTTAATATAAAGAGGAAGTTCCTAATTTTCAAGACTCAAACCCATACTAAATTGATTCTTCACCCACAAAATGTATATTTAGGCACCAATCGTATCATTATAGTATGCATAGAAGAAAATATATTGTCTCTGTTGTATTTTTGGCGGCCATTTTGAAAAATGTGAATATTTCCAATATAAAGCGCCATATGGTGTGTGTCCATAGAAATTTGTTTCTATGGTCCTAAGGTACTCTCATGTCAAAGGAAACGTTTGCATCGTAGATTGAAGTACAGACCCCTTAAAATGCAGTTAACCCATCTACTATAAAAGCTTTACCAAATTCGATGGATGGTGTTTCCGATGTTTTACCATGTAATGTTCACATATTCATTTTTAAGAGTGTAATGATGGTACATTCGGAAGTGGCTGTGACAAGACATGTCATTGTAAGGACAACGCTGAATGTGATAAAGCAACTGGAGAATGCTCAAATGGCTGTGGTGCAGGATGGACAGATGATGCAGATCATGGACCATGTCAGCGAGGTTGGTAACTAAATCATGAACAGTCTTGTTATACGTATATATTCGATAAGGAATGAAGCTTTGGAATAGGATTTTATGCCTTTCGTTTGGTCGACATTGGTTGCCTTCTTTCCATGCGAGTGTTCCTCTTTGTGTTTTAAGTAGGAGAATACATTATTGCGACATTGAATCTATACTTTTTTATCTTCCTTGAAATGTTTAGAGATACATAGTACTATTGTAGTATTTTAATTTTATTTTGGTTCTTTAAAACATTAAACGTGTTAACCTATAATTATGTCTAGCATGCTCCAGTGGATACTGGGGTGACAACTGTGAGCAAAGATGTGACGATGGCTGCTCTGGTGGAACATGTGACAGATTTGATGGTTCTTGCGGATGTGCAGATTACTACTTAGGCGATAAGTGTCAGATATGTAAGGAAATGATTACATGTACTAATTAGCAATTTTAATCAAAGGTGAAAATCAATCTAAATACTTAAGTCTCTTTTTGGCGTATGTTATTACATTTTTGTGACGAATTTTGTATTCTCAAAGGTATTCAGTTTACGTTCTACTTATTTTAAACGTATACGGTGTATCTGTTAAAGACAATGCTCATGTTGGTGATTTTTCATAGTTAATTCAGTACGCATCTCAAAAAACCCTTAGATTGCTGTGTTTCTGTATTTCACAATTAATTTCTCATTAGTTTTTCCTCAACCAAAAAGACGATACTTTAGTCTTAAAATTGACTATAACTTATCAATATACACAAAGCTTACATATCATTTTCAATTTATACGATGCACCACCAAACTGGAAATGTATATATTACATTTCTAAAATTATCTTACTCTAAAACACTACGGAATGCATCGAAATTCATGAAAAATATTTTATTAAGCACATTGCATCCCTTGTAATTTATTCTTGTCCTAGACCTCCCAGTGATGACAAATCCACCTGAACTGGTTGAAGGAAGTGTAACAGCTGACTCAGTCAGTGTGACATTTAACCAATGGACAACAGGAGTGGATACAGGCGACGCAGGCAAAGTCGCTATAAAACATTACATTGTACAATACTGTGATGAACCTCGTGTAGGAGACATATGCACCGATGGACCAAAGGTAAGAAATATTTGGAAATACAAGACTAAATATGATAAGACTTTGCTATGTAAAAGAGGACATGATTTTGATGATGTTCAGATGTTGTTATAATCCAAAGCTATTCACCTTTCCATAAAGTCAGCATGAATATTATAATGAGCCGCTTAAAAATCTGTGACGTCAATATGGGAAACTTTTTCCCGCGAAAAACAAATGCAATTGAGTTTACATGTAAATCCACGGTTGATTGCTGTAAGTTTTACCTCTTCAAATGTGCAAATTATCAGTAAATTATTGACGGATTTTTATTAAACGTCAAATTGACATTTATTTACGCCTTCTAAGCGATTTAAATATTAAATTTCTGTTCATAATGAGTAAATAAATTGAAGAGAATTACTCCCGGTCATTTTTCAATCATAATGGGAACTGCATGTGAACAGGTGAGATTATCATAATCATTGGTTCACCAACATTATAACATGTCTCTCATGCATAAAAATATATAGATAGACAATCTATTTTAAGTTAATCTTCAGTGTCATTTGATGAATGACCTGTTCAAATTAAAAACATTTGCTCTTATTCATTAAATCATTGACTTCACTACTCCCATAATTCAATCAACTAAACACGATTACTTCCTATTTATTTCTGCAAGTCATATAAGATTGTATCTTGAAAATATTATACATGGAAACATCGGGATATAGAATTGATATATTCCAATGTATATTTCCCGCTGCATATCTCCCGATCCAAATATTCCCTGGAAAATGTTTTTTATTCAGTAAAGATCCAGCAGACCGTAGAATTTCTTAACCAAAATGATGATGGATTTCTCAAAAATAATGAGAACGCTTAGAAAACAAACCTGAATATGCAGGGTGTCCTGAAAACTTCACTTGTGAAACCTCACTTGTCATAGGATAAATTAGTTATGTGATGATCGGTTTTGATCACTGGAAAGATTTCAAGAAAGAGCTACAGTATATCATATAATATTTATTGATGATATGGAAAAAGTTCCAATTAAAAGAAAGTTAAGTTTAGTCATGGGATTTCATGATCTTGAAAGCCCATGGTTTTAGTTACCATAACATATTCATGCTTTTGAAAATATTTTAAATGTGTATTATGGAGATGGGATCGATCCTCAATAACAAAATTTCAAACAAATCGTGTTTCAATTCGATTGGTTTCGTTTGCGCAAATGTCACTCGTGGTGAATTTCTGATGGAGCTTCTTCCTACGACATATAATCATTTAACAGGATATTGTATGACCACTATCAGATAATTTAACCGAGTTGTTTGTAACTTCACAATTTACATATTTTGTTTACAATCGCACGAGATATGTGAGCCCGGGTTTATCGCATCCTTCGACCCCTTTAGATTGTGGTCGTACGCGCGTATAATTGGTCAGTCAATGTTTTTACAAAGTTGGAGAAAATATTACGCATTGCACACCTAAATGACCTACCTTGATACATTTCTTAGTATTTTAGAATTCTTTTTATGTAATTGAATCGCCAATTGTATGGGTTTATCGGCAGAACGAAGAGGTTTTCGTTTTTGATAGCAATATTTGCGTGTAATATTTAACTTATTTCAACCGTCAAATTAAGAGGAGGGAAAGCCCCAGAGTTTCAAGATGACAGACATAATTACCTCTCTTGCTTACCACCTTCGTTCGTTCGAATTTTCATCGGCTAGTTATCAAATACTACACTTCGATGGGATGTTATAATTGATATAGGCATATTCCGTACACCTTTCTTTATCTTGATGTGAAATGAGAAGCTGTGATATTGGTTAACACGCCAGAAATGAACATAATATTATTCGAAGCGTATTTCGAAAATTTTGAAACCGCCATTGATGACGTCATTTGTTTGTCGACTTTTGACCAATCAGCGACCGTGTCATCTCAATACAGATTTACATTATAAGCGTATGTCATCTTTGAACCCTGGTGTTTCTCCCCCTCTGCGTCAAATTCCTCCATTCAGTTCCCGGCATACACCAGTCATAAGGGAAATCCCTGGGGAATTCCCCTTCCGACATTTTGAAAATTGCTGATATATTTCCGATGTAAAAACTAAAATCTCTTCGTTCTGCCGATAAACCCATACAATTGGCGATCTAACAACATAAAAGAATTCTAAAATACTAAGGAATGTATCGAGGTAGGTCATTTAGGTGTGCAATGCGTAGAATTTTCTCCAACTTTGTAAAAACATTGACTGACCAATTATACGCGCGTACGACCACAATCTAAAGGGGTCGTAGGATGCGATAAATGTAATGCGTGTTGATATATCTTTATTTTCGTGAAGGGGGTACAGGTACCCCGGGACCGACATTTACGTCACATATTCTGAATAAATGCCAATTTGGCATATCAGTTAGATTTGAACTTTTTGATATGCCAAAAGAGTTGTGTTGTTTGAATATCATGCTACCTGTGGTAACACATAAAATATTATAGTATTGTGATGTCAAAGTGTTGTATGGTAGGGGTTTGCAGGTTGATTTTAGAATGCACTGTGGAAGAAGAGGTTAGTAAGAGGAGGTAACACTGTACTCCATGTGGACAATGCCCCTGTCCAAATATCTCACCGAATCCATTCTCTGACATGGTAGCAAGCTGCAGTTACACAGCTGTTTTTATTTCATCAATGTCATTAAACCTGCATCCTTTCTCTACAGAAATAAGTAGTTTAGAAATAAATAAGTCATTTGTGGCCAGATCTGGACTAAAGGCTGCATGAGCCAAGGGCTTCAAGTTCAGGTCACGGGATATTGTATCCTGCACAGTTTGAGATATTTGGACAGGGGCATTGTCCACATGGAGTACAGTGTTACCTCCTCTTACTAACCTCTTCTTCCACAGTGCATTCTCAAAACAACCTGCAAACCCCTACCATACAACACTTTGACATCACAATACTATAATCTTTTGTGTTACCACAGGTAGCATGATATTCAAACAACACAACTCTTTTGGCATATCAAAAAGTTCAAATCTAACTGATATGCCAAATTGGTATAACCTCAGAATATGTGACGTAAATGTCGGTCCCGGGGTACATGTACTTCCCTCCACGAAATTAAGGATGTATCAACACGCATTACATATCTTGTCTTCAAATCTTCAGAGTTGATAGATAATTGAATGATGTATCACTGGTGAAAAAATCAAAGAGATTGGTCCATAAAAAGCATCCGTGTAAAAAAGCGTCCATTACTTATTGATCACCCCTCGTATAACCATAACATACCATAAGCTTATTTCATCACAGGTTACTCACATAGGAGAAGGTAAAACAACCACAGTTGATGTAACTGGCTTAGCAACAAATAAAGCTTATAAATTCAGAGTGGTGATCTATGCGGTGTATGAGGGTCAACTTTATCAAGGCAGACCTGGCCCGAGAGGCGCTGAGGCAACAACGCTATGTGGAGGTGATACCATGAGTTACAGAATTCCGTTAAAAGTGAATGATTCTACGAACGCATATGATGCTTCTTATTGCATGTCCGTATATGAGAAATGTCCATGGTTTAATGAAACAAAGCTGATCACAATATACAACTCTTGATTGCTTTTTGTCAGTGATAATGTATTGTCATTTTGTTCACAAAAGTGTATTTTTATTTTTTTTATTGAATTTGAGCGTTCCTTGTGTCTCAACAGTAAAAAACGTATTTTAAATTGTAAATGAGAACGTTCTTTGATAACAATGGCCTATCCCCACCACCATATATGGAAATAAACCAATACACATCCAAATTGAGAAGTGACACAATTGTAATGTGTCTTCATTTTATTATTTTAGCTCCAACCGAAGGATCCAATGTAACAGATGCCACAGCCAATAATGTTGAAATAAGCAGTATGTCAATCACCCTCATTTGGACGGTACGATTTCAAATACTTCATTGAACATTGATATGCCTAATAATACTTTGATAGGTAAAAATAACGTTTACCTATATTTGCCTTTAGTTCGAGTAGCATCAGCTCATTGCATTATTCATCTCTGAGTAATTTCTGACCATATAAACATGTTTTTCAGTATCCCCTTATGAACACTTGGGGTTGTAACAGTCTGACTAAGGTAGAAGTCTTATATAAAACTAAAGAAGCCCTTGTTTGGAGCACTGTGCCAATGGAAGACACCAAAACTACTGAATATACAATACCAGCTCTAGATTTCTTCACCACATATCTTTTCAAGATCATAATTACTAATAATGCTGGATACAGTGTTAACAGTAGCATGGGAGAGGTCAGAACCCCAGAAGGAGGTAAGAGAGTATATTACGCTATAACATTATTTAGTAAGCAGGTATATAATGTGTTCGGAAACACTAAAGTCTGTAAAATCAACTACTAGTACTACGTAAAAATAACAGCAGTAGACTACATCTAAATCTGAGAAAATGTAGAAAAATTTCATATGATTACATGTATTTTGGATTAGATATTTGTAACATATGGAAGTGATTACGTGAGACTACAGTTTGAACAACCTGCTGACATGAATGGAATCATTACAAACTACAATGCAAGTATTATTCTAAATCCTTAAGTTTTTAGGTCACCACCAAAATTGGGGACATATTGTCATGGTCTCCGTTTTTGTGACGGCGGTTGGCGGATGGCGGTTTGTGGTTTACATGACTTTATATTTGAGATTTGACCTTCAATGACCTTCTCAAGGTAAAAAAGTAAAAAATGTCTTAACTTGCCTCAGAATGAACATATTTTCAAATATTAATTTTTTTTCAAAATCACCAACAAGTTCTCAGAAGTTCAATGACTAAGATGGAACTCATAATATTGTGAGCAACTAGGTGGTGACATTTTGTCATGTCAATGCCTTGTTTGATATATTACAGTTTTACATTTTCATTTAATCATGTTTAGGTCGAATAATTGTGTGAAACAATTCACTTTTTCAGGCAACATGTTCAAGTTTGTCTGAACAAATAGGGCATGTGTCATCATCGGTTGACCAACCAACACTTGAGATTGTGATCGGAGGCCTGACACCAGAAACAAGGTATAAATGTACCATGTATGCAACCACAAGAGCCGGAGCAGGACCATCATCAAATACAATTTATATAAGGACCACCAAGATACGTATGTTCTTGTAATTTTATTCCACTGAGGCTATCAGCTAGTTTTTTCTTTATATTGATTTTATCAATATTGGTAATATCACATTGATGAGGTCATTTTTCCCTTAAAACATACGATTTCTCAGGTTGTTAATTTATTTAAATGTTTCAAAAGTTTACATGTTATACTACACTAACAATTTTTCTTAGTGTTTGCGATTGTTTTGCCCGTCAACTCAAATATTTTGAGTAAGCTTAAACACCTCAACTAATGGTGTTTTAAATGTTATTGCAACCAACAGTCGAACCTCTAAAACAGCAAGATACAAATGGAAGCAGTGTTGGTGCCATTGCTGGGGGATCTATTGGCAGCCTAGTTGCTGTGGTCCTCATTGCCTGTGTTGTGATATTAAGTATACGGATTCGAAGATTGCAAAAAGAAGTGAGAAGAGAGAATGGGTAAAGATAGTCTTGATTTGTTTAAGTCGAAAATGTTGAAAATTGAATTATTCTATTCATTTTCTAATTGATTATGTTCGTCGTAATATACGTTTATTGATTTATATTATATGGTTCTCTCTCTATGTCAGGGGCAATGCATTGCAATTAGAATCTGCCCAATATGAGGACGTGAATATGTCTAACCAACCAGTATACGACGAGGTATACATTCCTGGAACAAATAACAAGGACGCAGATAAGGTATAACGTCATGCAATATCACTTGCACTTTATACGAATTGAATGAAATTCTAATATGTAACATTGTGAACAACTGAAGAATCATAATGTTATTTAGGATACTTTCGCTCAAATTGCTGTTTGAGACTTGCTCGTTGCATAAACATAGTAACATAAGAAAGCGTATATTGTAGATTATATTTTATTTGCACATCAAGAGTGAACATTTATTTAATTAAAGGAATGATTGCGATTTGATGCATCGTTCATCTTGTGAACAAAAACACAATACTAGATGCACACAACCTTGTATTTTTTAAAATGCATTTAATTTATGTGAGCAAATGGAATGAGCATTTTTTCAAGCCTTAGCATTTGTTATTTTAATAATCATTTCAATGATGCATTTTACAGAGCAATGAATATGAGACTTTATCAACCATAGATGAGTATAGACTCTCAGACATTGATGTGGGACGGACATTGGGTGAAGGAGAATTTGGAATTGTAAAATATGTCACCATTCATAATGCTAAGAAAGGGGATATTAAAGGTGCTGCTAAGATGTTAAAAGGTTAGAGGATCTAGAATAGTGAGGGCAGGCATTTGATCTTATTTTATCTTTTTCAAATTCCATGAAATGAAACCTTATTGGAAGGGGACCTTTCTGCAAGGCTCTCTTTGTTAAGTATGCCGATGCCGAAAGTTAACAATATTCAAAATACCCCCCCCCCCCCCACACACACACACACTTCTTATTGTGCTTCTTATTTGAAAATGTTTTACTTTCATTGCTTTTCATTGACAGTATTACTCCTTGGTTACTTTTATCACTAGGAGTTCAAAAATAAACATGATATGAGAAAACATGTTTCCTCAAGTTTGTCCTGCGTCTCAGTGGATACATAGTCTATGTCCCCACTCTTAACGAAAGCTAAGTGTGTATATCTGTATTAAATTATTGCAGTTGACATATTCATTATCTTTATATAAAGGCATTACTTGAATTGTGTTAAAAACACAAAAGTTCATTGCCAGATTTCTGTACAAGACGGGTACCGTACTACAGTAATTCATTTCAGGCAATGCAACAGATGAAGACAGAGACAAACTTAAAGAAGAGCTACGTCTGATGCTTAAAATACCTCGCCATAACAACGTAGTTGCAACATTGGGACAATGTAACTCGAAAGGTAATGCACAGTAGGTGATCCCGTGAGAACTCATATAGCACACTTAAATAAGCTTTTTACGTTATATCTTTTTCATTATCATTTAGGATCTAGTGATTTTGCTCTCTTTGTCACTGGTTGTGTGTTGCTTTTTCTAAATGTACCTCGATATACTTTCAGATAGTTGAGTTTGGCTCATTTGCTTACATAAATGAAATTTTCTTTTTGTAAATGAAATATTTTCCAGATGGACCAATGATAATTGTTGAATATCTTCCTCTTGGCAACTTACAAGATTACCTGAGAGACAATAAAGTAAAATACAAATCTAATCCTCAATGTGGGCAGGAACTTATCAGGTTTTCTCTTGATGTGGCTAAAGGCATGGCACATCTTTCAGCATTGAAGGTACAATTTTTAAATTTTATGGATGGCATTATTTTAATACTATATTTATTCTGATTAGCAAAATGGCATAATTGCTGATGTAAATGCTTCTCAATTACATGATACAAATATAAGTACAGAATTTAAATACATGCAGTTACAATAAAGAAAAAACAAATATATTACAACGTACTTGGGTAGAGAGGACATCTCAAGTTAGACAAAAAATTAGAATCTCTTTGTACTTTTAATGAACTTGTGTAGTGCCAAAATCAATCGTTCGTTATCGTCAACTGTTATAAATTTGTTCCCAAAGAGAATTGTGTCTTTGATAACATTTTGAGAGTTAAGGTTTATATCAGGATTGTCAGCACATACATCAATTAATGTATAAAGCATATGAAGTGAACAGAACAATATGTATTGTAAATAATAAAATGTAATGTAATACAATATGATTCAATTCAATACAATGTAATGTACAATATAACCTCTTGGCGAAAGGCTACCGTCCTCATAGACAGACTCAATTCTGAATTGATGATTTCGCACTAATGAAGACATTTTTATATGAGCATCTTATTTGAAATATACATGAATATATAACAAGGGGATTGGTGTTTCAGCTTGTACATCGTGATTTGGCAGCTAGGAACGTGCTTCTAGATGCAAACAAAGTTTGTAAAGTTTCTGACTTTGGCCTCTCGCGTGATGTGGGGGAAAGAGATATATACAACAGAAGTTCTACGGTTGGTAAAACAATGTTAACGTTTAACATTCGTTCTCGTATTTGTAAAAAAAACTATGCATTTTGGCTAGAAATTTAGAAATTGGCAGTTCACTTACTATGTTGTAATGATCTTCATGAATGAGAGTGTCTTTCATATCATCTTAAAGGGCCCTCTGCCGATTCGCTGGTTGGCTCCCGAAGCTTTGTTTCACAATATATACTCCACCAAGAGTGATGTCTGGGCTTATGGCATTTTACTGTGGGAGATTGTCACATTCGGTAAGAGAAAAACCTTCGTTGAAATTAAGTGTTGAATCAGTTCATTAGTATTTTAATACTTACATTTTAGTGAAGTATAGATGGTCATATTACTGACCCGAAATCTTATATTATATCACACGGTCAGTCTTATGTCATTAGATTTCATAGTCAAACCAAGCACACATTCAGTCTTGATCTTATATTTATAGGGTCAACGCCCTATCCCGGGATGAAGAGTAGGGAAGTGATGAAGATGGTACAACAAGGAAGAACATTAGAAAGACCAGAGCACTGCAGTCGACAGATGTCAGAAGATAAATACATTTTTTATTGTAATATTGATAAGATTTAGAGCTAAAGTATAGACATTGGAGAATTTACATCATTCGAATAAATCACTCGTCCAAAATGAACACATCTCATCCGAAAACCTCTAAAAATGAACACTTGGCCCCCCAAGAGTCGTTCGCATTAGACAGATTATCTCGTACGTTGATATAGTATAATACTTACCTTGCTCGTAATTTTTCCTCAGCCTATTGTGTGTCATTGGATTTGTCGAACAGTGTCTATAAAATTGGGAAATTCAATATTATATATTTTTTCAAGATATGATCAGATGATGTTGTGCTGGCAAATGGACGTTAGAGCAAGGCCGACTTTTACCCATATTGCTTCATCCATCAAGGTGGGTGGTACAGCGATTCTAGCACAAAACCAAGCCTCTCGTTTGTATTATAATATTATATTTTACATTAACAAATTGATTGCAAAGTCCATTTGTTCCGCTCTCCTTATCACAACAGACCTTTCCAATAAATCTTGCCACCTTTTGGTATATTAAAGAAGCTATGCTATATTGGTTAGATTGATGATGTCATTGGTTGTTGGTAGCAGTTTGTCTATGCAAAAATAGGATTTGCCTATTGCTAATTTTGAAAAAGAACAGCCTATGACATCACCAATCTAGCCAATATAATATAGGTTCTTTGATGTCTCAAAATGTGGCAGGATTTACTGAAAGGTGAATTACAAGTATATTACACTTCCCTCATCAAAGTTTCAGAAAATGACATTAGGTCCCACATAAACAGGGTGTAATACTACAAGCAGTATAGATTTCGGTTTCCAAATTAATCAAGGGGTAGTAAGTCTTTAATGTAATCAGAATGGTTTTATTTTGCCTTTATTTTTAGGATATTCTCAAGGAAGAGGAAGTATATTTGGAGCTAGATATCTACAATGAGGGGCGCTATGTTAATCTTAAATGGGATAAAACTCTAGGCGAGAAACTGTAAATGATCTACCATGAGATTCAGTTGAATGAATCCCCAAAGAAGAAGAAGAAGCTGTATGAAACTAGCTGGGGAACAGTGAAATTCACGATCGCAAAGAGTAGCTTTACTAGATTATGAATCTTGGCTATGTATATAAAAAAGAAGAGTGCTTAGTTGACAAGGGATAAAACACTGAAATAATGCATCAGTCACATTAATGTGACTCGGGCATTAATGTCCAATTACATGTTATTGTTCCTCAAATATTTCTATATACTGATTATAAGGGCTTTAGTGTATTAAACATGCTTATACATATATTCGGATATTTGTAATAACAAATGAAATATACATAAAAACTAGTTAACAAGAATTCATGTAGACTCCTAAAATAAAGTAAACAAAAGGATTGGTATCGATATGGTATAGCGTAATTTAAGCAAATGCCAAAGGGATAGAAATGTCAGTTGTGCTTCCTCTGGTGTGTTCGAGCGTTAACATCAGCTGCCTCTAGTTAGATCGACTGACGAAACATCCTTTTTTGGGGTTGTCGAGTTGGCAGAGAGGGCTTGAGTGTCGGCGCGTCTGGGCTAGGCGCCGCAACCACGAGGTCGCGAGTTCGAGACGCGTGTGCTCCTTGTTTTTATTCAATTAGAGCCAGCCCATTGAATCTCAACAATGAAATGTTAGTAAATCAAATAAATGTGTACAGTTTGATAATTGGTTAACTGATTACATTAAATACTGCAATGATTGATAAATATGGGTATAAAACTCTTACATTTGTACATTTGAAGCAGTTTAACACGTCTTCTCTCAAGTCCCTATCTCAAAGGTTCAACAATATCTGTCAGGCATGTTACTCAAGTGGTGAAAGCTGGTTTAACAAGTCTTGTACTATAGGCCTATTCATACCCAAGTTGTGACATCAGTTTTAAAGTTATTGCATTAATTTTAACAATACAATGCTTGTTTATTAAGATGAGTTTCTCTTTTCTCAATTTTTTTGATATTGAGAAAAAAATCGTATTGTCCCGCCCAATCCCGTTCACGAAAATCGTATTCACCTCCCAATCCCGCTCACGAAAATGGTATTCATCTCCCGCGATTGACAAACAAAGATTCCCATTGTGTTCAGTTGGGTCGATAGAGCGTGCTATAATGTATACGTCTTGTTAATAATCTCTTTATATTTCAAAATATCATAAAGTTAAGCCATATCATGTAGACTAAGTATATAGTCTGATTTTTTTCATACAAAATCAGATATGGATTTTGAACTAATGGCTTTATGAAGAGTTGTGAAAATTATGGATAAAAAGCTTATTTACTTGTAGGAATTAAATATGAGTTCATTCCTCGTGACCATATGATATACATCACATTGTCCCTCGGTATAAAACCCATATTGAATCCCTCCCATTAAATAACCTCTACATCTCGTTTAGACATAGTTATTGATAGGAAATCATAGTGATATTTGACGTGAAGTCATATTACTATCTAATCCACCCACCTGGAAGAGAAAACAATTCACTCTTGGTGAAAAGAACATTAGAATTGATTTATGAAATATGCATTTCTATACATATAAGTGCATATTTTTGCGAAACGCCAAACTTCAATACTCACTTATACTTATAATGTATAGCTATACGAATAAACGTAAGTTAAGGTCTCATGGAAGTTAACAGGAAGTGACAAAACAAAAAATGACAAAGCCATGCTGGATTTTGAAAATTTTTTGAACCAAGATAACAGAGTTCTGTTTGGACCTCCAGTCAGTTTAACTAGTTCCACATATCATTTACATGACCAGGAACACAGTTGAAATGGTCAGAATGACCATAAACATGATAGAATAACCTTTTCAGCCCTCTGAAAATGTGACTAAAAATAGCTAAGAGTAGGTGCTCAGGAAAGGTCACTGAACAGAATCTTTTGACTTTTTCAGAAAATGTGCCCAATATATTGCTCTAAATGATACAATTCAAAAAAATTTGATATCATTCTTAGGAAAAGAAAAAATTGAAAAAAACTGAATTGAAAATCGATCTATTTTCCTTTTTACTACAGCCATTATTGTTTCAGACGATTTTTTAAAATTTCAAAGATTGTGTCATTTAGAGCAATATATTGGACACATATTCTGAAAAAATCAAAAGATTCTGTTCATTGACCTTTCCTGAGCACCTACTTTTAGCTATTTTTCAGTCACATTTTCAGAGGGCTAAAAAGGTTATTTTATCATGTTTATGGCCATTCTGACCCTTTCAATTGTGTTCCTGGTCATTTCCTGTTTACTTCCATGAGACCTTAAGCTTTCACGTATTGCGAAATCTCTCCATTCTCTTTTTTTATTCTAGCTTACTTATAAATCATAGAGAGGCTTGAATTCTCTACCACAGTTTCGAATCCCTCTTTGTTCGAACAATAACAGAAATGTGGAATTAAGTCTTATGTGTGTCTCTCAAAAACTAGTTATGAAATATGTAATTTATATTTGTAAATAAATGCATTTTGGGGGCATTTGCGTTCGACTGTATTTCGTATATACAGATTGCAATCGTCATAAAACCTCTAGGTAATGGACCCGTGAAAATGAATGAATAGTCATTATATAAAAGGACAGTTTCCATTACTTCTAATCATAAATAACACCAGAATATTTTTACATTTTACAATCAACAGACTTGTTGGAAACAAGCTTGATCTAGCCATTTAAACCTTGTTTTTGTTTGTATCCATGGACTTTCAATAGACTTGAAAGCCCATGAATTATCCGAGCTTGAGAAGATCATTCTCGTAAAATATGAAGAAAAGTGATTTTTTTTGAAATTGTGATCGTAAAATTTAATTCGGATCTTGTCAGGGTACTATTTTCTTCTTCGTTACATGCGTGTATCATTGCTTCGGCATACTCGTATTCCAATGTCGTAGTTCTACCAAATCGGATGTTTAAGAAAGATGTTAGATTTTAGTGAAGAAAATTCTAGTTAGTTTTATCAATAAAAGTTACTACGCCACATTTTATTTATTGCATACATTTAAAAAATGTGGTACTCAAGCATCCATTATCTTGCTTGCGATTTAGGGGAATGAAATGCCAAACGTAGTTTCAGCCGAAGAATGTTGTCTTCTGTTGCTTTTGTTGTCTTCACACTACTTTCTCAACCCAACCAAATCACAAATTGATGCAATCGACACTGCAAAATAAAGTAGTCCCGACGGTGGTACCAATGACCTCATCACTGATTTGACTGCCGTAGAGGTTCAGGTCCAGGTTTAGGTTGACGAAGTTCGCATACCTAAATTGCGCACCTAAGTTTTACACCACACGTATGTCACTGTGGCTAGTCGATCTATGTGGATGCAGTCAGGCACATGTAATGTTTCGTGAGTACCCGCCTCTGTACTTTTCAATGGAAGAATTTTGCACTTCTGTTTAAATAATCTATATTTACTCATCCGTGTATATCATACTTCATTGATTTACAAAACCAAAGCTACGCAATAAACACACATTCTCTGATATTTTTACGGAGAATAGATAACTCAAACGAGTTCACTCGACCAGTTTTATCATCTCGCTCATAGCTGTGAGAAGGTATGTATAATTTGCCATGTAATGGGGAATAAAAAATTCAAGTAATATAATTATTTCACATACACAAATATGTCTGTGTGAAGTAAAATACAAATACAATGCGTTCTATAATATTTTTGGGGTTATGGTATGAAATATCCGCTTTAAAAAAGCAATTTAATTATGATGTATCATGTGGATTAGTAGACGTTCTGATTGGATTCATTGAACAGACTGGCTAGGTTTCAATTGAATCATTTTGAATGTGTGTATTTTTAATATTTTAGTCCACAGTGTCCAAAAACAATAATAATGCTATATTGGTAATTGGAAAGATTCCACTTACCACGATTTCAAAAAATTGTAAATGGATAATATCATTCTTGAATTATGGTCATTTGTTTCAAGGAATCTGGAGGCTCGTTCAGCTGAGCTGACAAAATCATCAAGATTTACGGATGGTCCATCTGTTTGCTGCTTATTGTCACTTTCAAGGAATGTTAATGGCTCTGAAACTTGTAGCCTTGCCCAAGTCGGTATTTATTTACTTATCTGATCTTGAATTATTACCACCTTGTACAATCCAATGTATCATCACTGATATTATGCTAAGTTATTCAGCGGTTCCGAGATTCCCATCATACCTAGGCTACCTAAGGGTATCGTAAAACCATATTGATTGACAATATGGACATGGACACAACGTGTGACTTCAGGCTGATTGACCATTCAAAACGTTATCAGGTTGACCTGCATTAAAAAAGCAAACTACCCATCTAGGACTTGAAATTCAATGATCTGATCGAGTGTTTCTTTAGAGTTACAATATATTATTTTATTAAATGTACATTGGAATGTAAGCAGTCATTAATACTCGTCTAAATGAAATCATGCAATTCAATGTTGATTCCTGAATTCGCGATGGAAATGCATGAAGACCTAGTCCGGCAATGTAGGGCCGTCGTTGATTTGTCAAATTTTACCGACAAAAACACTGGGTCGGTAAAGCACGTGGCTTTCTCTTGGGTACAAGGCGGTCATAATAGAAATCAAGATAAGTAAAAGAGACCAACTTGGGCAAGGCTATGAAACTTGATTTGAGGGTATTCCAGTGGGTCGATGGGTCTTTTGCTCTGAATTCACTTCATTTGCGTACCTAATTTCAACATTTTCATTGTCATCATTAATTACATGTTATGGACCCGTTTTTCAAATTAACAGTATTAGCAATAAACCCATAGTTTTTGGCTCACACAGTGAGCCTATGGGATCGACCAGGCGTCCGTCCGTTGGTCCGTCCGTCCGTCCGTTGGTCCGCCCGTCTGTCAACATTGGCTGCACAAATTAAAACTGCTATTCGGATTGAGTCATTTCCACATTCATTTTATGCATATCCATAATGTCTATTTGACCTAACATCGCCATTTCCCAAGTTCGCCCGGTTTCTGAGAAATTGCTGATTTTTAAATTTCGAGAAAAATCGATCTGATAGAAAGTCAAGAGAAGTGAAGAAAAGATTGAAAAAATACCAGTCCAGTCCATTTCCAGGTCCAAGTCCAGGTCCAGGTCCAAGTCAAGGTCCAATTCAGGTCCAAGTCCAGATCTAGGTCTAATCAGGTTTAATCTAGGTCAAAGGTCAAGAACTAGGTCAAATCCAGTACTTTGTCATTTTTTTCAATTTTCTCAGTCGTCCTTCAATATTTTTGCTCCGTTTTTTTAATCATGTTCCTTGGAAAAAAGCTAATCCCTACAGGCAAGTTGTTTTTGATCACTCTTACCGTTTTTGAGATATGGCATCCGAAAAG